AGCAAGGGCGCTACTAGGGGCTCCTGGCCTTACCACTAGGAGCAAGGACGCTACTAGGAGCAAAGGGAATTCCACATGTGAGCAACACCTGCTCCTCGGCAAAGGTCATTGTGCACAATGTTTCCCTCATCGTTCATTCGGTGTCCAAAATCAACACAGCACCACGGTCTCCCATGTACGACTTGTGGCATTCCAAGCTTTAAAGACCTTTACATCCTTTTACCAAACTAGAGGGCACTCCCCTCCGCCCTACCAGGCCACCGTCTTCTTCACACCTCTAAAGCCTCGCCGGGCAGCCAGGACTTCCATGGACTGCGCCAAAGCATCGGCCACGTGGGCCGAAAGCCTCGCCGTCTGTTCTTCTACGAAGGCCACCACCTCGGAGAACTCACACCGACCGAGCAGGGCGCTCATCACGTTTGTGCGAACGGAGGCTGCAAGAGTGCGTGCAAACCGCACGAAAGGTGGACAACGAAGAAAGTATGGTCCAGTTTGAGACCCCACCTCTATGACCAACCAAAGACAGAGTTGAGGTTAAACATGGCCGATGTTAGGCCGATGGCAGAGAAATAAAGAGGGACGACCTGGCCTCCTTAGTCTCCACAATCCGGCCAAGGAACTGAACGCTCATTGTCTGCCTCCTAGCAGGGTTCTCACAAATCAAAGGTCCTATGAGAGTCTTATGATTTACAGGTTGTCTTCCAGTTTGCAGGACGTTTTCGTCAAAGGCACTCGAAGTGCAATGAGGAATCTTCTTGCCAAAAGTTTACCCCAAAGAAACTCTTTTGAGATTCCAGTACAAACACTGATTCCGGTTCCAAACAACATCTGAATCCGGCCTCTTCCTGTGCAGTGCGGTGAAATTCGGCACGAGCTTCTTCCTCCTCCCTCACCTCTCACAAACCATCAATGCTCTCAAAGGCTGGTCGTGAATTGAGCTCCTTTTGATGACTTCAGAACATAGCAGCATAGCGTCCCCAACCATCTCGGCAAATATCATGGATCACAACGACATGTTACACTCCCACAGACCCCAAACTAGACATCTGTGACAACAGAGAATCAATATCCCGCATCGATATGATTTTAAGCACGTCAATGTGAAATAGTGCTGCTTATCTATCGATCTTCGTTCGACATTTTGGGGCAATGTTCTCATTGCTGCTTCATACCAGAGGCTGCAAGAGAAGCTGCAATGACAACTACGGGGAATAAAAATAACAATTAACAATTGAGACTCACATGAGACAAACAAAAAGGAACACCAAAACCAAATCATCGTCCTGAAGAAAAAAACACACACACAAAAAAAAAAAAGACAGGACGCCTCGCCTCACGAGAGCGAAACGATCCGCGGCACGGCACGCGGCGTGGTTTCCACAGTTGTCGTCTGACTGATGGAAGAGGTGGACAGCAGACTGAGACACACATCTGAATGCATGAGTGCGCACAAAGAAAGAAGAATCCTTCCAAAGGAGATATATAACATCATAGTTTAGACAAGGTCTGAAGGACGTGTTCGGTCAGCAAATGCGTACTGTCAGCCAATGAGGGCTGAGTAAGAACGAGACAGCACGCTAGTCCACCTATTTGTGGGGTCAAAGCGACCTCCCAAACCAACCATTGAGCGACAAATCTCGGGCCTCTTGCTGCGCAGTGCGATGAAATTCGGCCAGAGCTTCTTCGTCGTCCCGCACCTCTTCGTCTCCGGCCAGGAACGGTTGTGGGAGCAGCTCAAAGAGTGAAACGATGAGTTGAGCAACTGACGCTGCCGGCTCAAATATACTATACCGACTATACCCGACTGATAGACATGATACTGTAAGGCTGGTTTCAAGTTGTTGAAGCACTTATCCTTCTGAGAGTGTTCTTGTCTCTCCGAGAAGTGCCTCCCTCGCTGAAGTGCCCCAACATCATGAACGTGACGCCTGTGACATCATGAAGGCAGGCCGACTGTCAAAGTAGTGCACCACGTCAAAGGCAAAAAAGAGGCCGTTCCGAATCTTCCGCGTCATGGCCTCGCTACAAGTATGGGTCAAACATCCTTGCTGTGAATCAGTGAAGACTAAAGAGAAGAAACCTTAGAGTCCCTTCACCTAACAGGAGTAC